ATTCGACCAATCTCAAACATGGACAAGCGTACTGACAGCGCAGCGTCATACTTCCTGAATGAAAAGTGAACTTTAATATTAGTCAAATATGAAGAAGTTAAACTTTAAACATCCATGACTTAACCTGTTTCACACCTTCCCCCCGGTACCGGGCGGATAAACGCGTCATTTGCAGGAAACAACGTCTAAGGAATCTTAATATTGAATAAAACTATGAATGTGTTATATCCATGTAACGGGAAGAAACTCAGCTAACTGATCTTTTTAATTTTTTTTTTCAAAAAAAACCCACAATGCTAGCACTCAGCCTCTGAATTAGCCTCGATCGAAAAAACGGGACCTACAAAGGCACTTAAACTCACTCATAACTCCCTTATTACTTATCCTAGATGCACAGCCAACCACTCGTTTTTGGTGTCCTGGAGACACTGAATCTACCGGTGCCCACCTCAACACTCAGTGATAAACATTCGCGACGCTATCAACGAAAGCGTACATCATCACATGTGGAGCTAAGAAGCTAAACACGTAAATATGGCTTACCTTGGTCAAAAGTGGTCTTCAATGGCATTAAAACGATAAAAAAACGATGCTGCAGTTAATCCATAGGTTCATCCTATGTGTCTGTGCCTTCTTTGAAATTATTTCTGATAATCCATAAGCAATACAACTGCGTTTTAGTTTCCAAACTCCAGAAGGAGACATTCCTCCAGTTTGGTTTCGTTTTCCACACGCGAAGCGCCCACATTTTTTCTTTACAGCTTGTGTGGGTGTTGTCCTCCCCCTTCGATTCTATTGGCTCTAACGGTCACAAGGGTATGTCAACCAACCAAATCGAGCAAGGGGGGCCAGAGATAGGTCAAATCCACCCAAATGACCCCAGATGGCCCAGTTTTTGGCTAAATCTCTCTAAAAAGGTCAAATTTCACTTGTTTTGCATCAATCTTGATACAGGGTACTTATTATATGTTGTACTTTGGATTCCTAAAGCTTTTAGTCTACTAACCCATCATCCAAGGGTAGTTTTCACTATCTGTAAAAAATTATTTTTGGACGGACACTATAATTTACAGTTTTTTACTATGTAAAATCTGAATTTTCTTTAAAATAAAAAACATTTATATTGATTCTGACACTTCTACATCCAACTCACAGGTTTATCATTACTTTGAGAAAAAAGATTATTAATTTAACCCTTTTAGAAGGGAAGATATGGTCATTTGTTCTGGGAATGTCATTTTCGAGCCTGAGACCTGAAAAACAGGCTCAGAGTGGAACAGGTTAAACACTTTATCCAGGATAAAAGCCACATAGCTGCACCTGCAAGGTGAATACAGCTGGTAAAAGAAAAAGCGTTTGAATGCATTCATTAACAGGTTTATGATATCACTGCCCCGTTAAGACACGAGTGGATCTGACTTTAATTAGGAGAATTTGACTCGAGTGTTTCGTCAACTTAATGTGTTGCTTAAAATGATACTTCTGCATACAGTATGTGACACTGTGAGTGTTGCACGGCCAGATACGGCTCAAGAAGCTGACTCAAATAAGGAAATATATGATACATTATGATGTGATATGATATGAATGATAATGGGACACATCGACGTCTGCACTCACAGTGCCGCGGACTGTATATGTCACTCTGATCCGGTTACTTATGTCGTGGCAGATATTTAAGTAAGCTTTCTTAACGCTAATGTTATAATAGTCAGATTGCTCTGAAGATAGGAGGGGATATTCTATTAATTTTCACGTTCACACAGTCAGTTGATTTTTGCCGGCCGTCTTTCCTGCAACGGCAGTTTTTCTGTATTTCCTCTATCCTGTAATATGACTTGATAGCTTTAAACTCCGCACACGGAGCTCTGATTGGTCAACAGGCGGTGCTTTCACTGAGTTGATCTCTTCGCCTGCAACATAAGTTTCCATGGAGATCTAGCCCGCTAAAAAGAGAACCAGCGTCGTAGGACCGGAAAGCCCGAGTTTTCCCTGAAGTCAGCCGGCTAAGCAAAAATCCGGCTTCGTATTACAGGCTTCTGCTCTATCGAAATCAGTCGCATTGACCCGAAGACACATTTTGAGTTGTATACACTGTTGGAAAGAGGAGATTCCTAGCTTTCTAATGATATCAAGATTGTTTTTGTACATTATATAATGACTGTCACCGAGTCATCATTTTGAGAAAAAGGCCTTCAAAGTTTCCTCTTCTCTGGAATCCATCGATCTGATTGATTATTAGTGGAGCAAATGATCAAAATAGTTCGGAGGGAAAATATTTCCGTTTGGATTACTGGTCTGGGGGAAGCTCGCGAGTGTGTGTATGTGTGTGTGTGTATTTTTGCGTTTGTGTATATTGTGTTTGTTTCCCGGGGAAAACACTCACGAGAAACACCGGCTGTTGTTATGCTTGCTGTGACGTTAAATTACTCCGTTCTCCGCTTGTAAATATGCCGTTACAAGCTTCATAGTTGTATTTATCATCTAAATTTGCCGAAACAAGTTTAATATTCTGAAAGCCAAGACTTTGTTTAATTGAAATCAGATAAAAACAAACTGTAACGGACCCTGCGTGTTATCTATGATTACTATATGCCTTACATTCATAATTTCAGCCGGAGGGAGGGGGAGCTGCGCTACGGAAGAGCAGATTGCGAGTGAGAGGTGCCTGTCATCTTCCCTTTACAAGCTTCACAAATGTATTTATCGTGTGATTTTGGAAATAAAAGTTTCATATTCTGAAAGCCAAGACTTTGTTTATTTAAAATCAAACAAAACACCCGAACTCCGAAAAAATTGTTTTTTACGCAAATCCACGTTTATTTTTAAATGAGCCGTTGCGACTTCCGACTGATTTCGATAGAGCGGGTCACATATTTGCTTGATTCCAGTGTTGAATTTAGCACAATTGCATACAAACGTCAAGGGATTTTAAGATTCTGAAGTCTTCGTTCTAAATAGAAAATAGCATGGATAATTTCCAAAGTCTTGAAAAACACAGCAGGAGCCCAAGACAATTATAAAACTGGTCATTATTTCAGTACAGTTAAATTGGTTTTATTTTCATAAACGGTTATCAACCGTTAGAGCCAAAGCAGTAGGCTATTAATTACTGCTGTATAGACTACAACCACTAGCCTACTTGTTTAGCTAGCATAAACTCAACAAAGCTAGCGTTAGCTGGCTAACTGACGTTATTTTGCCGCTAAACTGCACGATATAAAACGGTGGTCTTCAAAGCGGATTTAATCCTCATTCACAATAATAATATTGAAAGTAATACTGGGGAAGTAATGTGCAAAACTTACCGTTGATTGACGCGCCATGTCAGCGGACTGGTAGCGACACGGACCGTTAGCCCCGCAGTCATCCGGTTCGACCTGACTATGGCTGTGACTGTGTGACTGACCCGAGCCTCGTCGTTCTGATAGCTCCGCCCCTTCGCTCCAACCCCCCTCCCCCCCCCCCCCCCCCCACATCTACAGGTGAAAATTACTCTTGCGACACATTTATCGCAAGAAGTGTAGCAAAAGTCAAGGCCGCAGATTCGTCGATTTATACTGCCACAGAGCAGATTTGTGAAGTTGTAATGACTGATTTGAGAGGTTGTAATAACCAAGTTGCAGTTGTAATGGAAAATATATTAAAAATATATATTTTTTTCTGCAAGTGAACATTTCATCACTAAGTTCATTTTTTTTCTACAAGCTACAAAACTTTTTTTTTTCTTCTGTGACTTCAGATTTGGTTCACAGATACGTGGATATTTTATACAAGTGTAAATGTATGCACACAAACTCAGATTTCTTTTCTGCAAGTGCTCACATCAGGTTTTACACGCTCTCGCATTTTGCACAATATCTACCTTCATAGTTGGGTTGTAACGGAATACATGTAACAGCGTTACGTAATCAGAATACAAAAATCAAGTAATTGTATTCAGCTCGCGTTACATTCGAAAAACTAGTAATCTGATTACAGTTACTTTCGTAAACCTGAAGTGAATACATTTTGGATTAGTTATTGGAATTATTGGTGTAAAGATTTCCTCACAACATTTAATATTCATTACTAAAGGTACAGCCAAATCATCACAGCGCACAAAACCTATTACCGCCGCAGATGGACCAAAAAAGGGAGCGTTTGAAAAAATGTGCTGGTCCGCTCAGTGAAACAATAACAACGAAACATAGAGGAACAAAAGTCTGCGTTTAAATCGTGTGTGTGTGTGTGTGTGTGTGTGTGTGTGTGTGTGTGTTTAAAACACTTCAGCCTGCGGTCGCTCTTTAGCCTTTCGGTAACACTTTACAATAAGGTACACAAAATGTGCTTAGTTACTGCTTAGTTACTGAGGAACTACTAGGTAGTTAATGGTTAGTTAATGAGTAGTTCCTCAGTGAACTTATGGTTAGTTACTGGTAAACAGACTGGGGGTACTGTATTAATGAATCATTCGTTAATGGTTACTTAATGAGGAGTTCCTGGGAGACTTTGATTGAAGCAATGGTCCGCTGCAGCAGGGCACTTTTAAACCTGCCATCTTCGGCTGGCTTGGGTCCCACACTAGATCAACTGGTGGAGGTGGATCCGACTCACGTTTTACTGCTTAAGTCATCATTATTTACCTTACCATTACTTAGGCCGTTTGGGTACGGTAAACTCAAGGAACTCAAACAAAAACAGTAGTTACCCATTACCTAATGCTTACTTGACCATTACAAAAACAGTAGTTACCCATTACCTAATGCTTACTTTACCATTCATTAAGCAGTATGTGTCCCCTCAAGTAAAGTAACCCATTAACTAATGATTACCTCACCATTAGTTAAGCAGTTTAACAAACAAACAAACAAACTAACACTGTTGATGACAATGACGGATCTACAGCCACTGAAGTTTTACATTTTTATTGGAACAAGGATGAACATTACAAAAAAAAAAATGTAAATAAAAAAAAAAACTAAAAACAAGTGCAAATCAAAATAACATCCATTCCTTCCTCACTTCCCCTTTGGATTAATGGATAATAGTCCTCCATTCATCTTTAACTCCTGGACCTTCCCCTCTAAATGTTTGTCCTTGATGGCAGACTTACACACCTCAGAGAAACGGAGAAGGGTTTCCCCCTTCTTCAGTGTTCCCCGGATATCTTGGAAGATACCCGGGTTCACAGCATGCAATTCTGCAATTGATGCAGTGTCGGCAATGGTCTTGCGGTCCACTCCTACTGCTCTGTAAGCCGCCGTTTTGTTGCTGCCCTTGTTCACCGCCTCAAGAACACGCTTGTAGCGGGTTATGGCGTATTCTGGGGTCAGGACTGAAACAGAAAAAAAGACAAATATTTAACTATTTAACAACAGTACTTTGTTTTTGCCTATCCTAATGATGTCTGTAGTGCAGAAATCAGTTTGGATATGGGTTTATTAGTATTGATAATATTCTTGTACTAGTGTTATATAGTGGTAGTGTAATCCTTACATACAAAATTGTGTAATGAATTGGTGTAGTGTAAAGGTATTACTAGTCGTGTAGCTTTGCTCAAAGTAATGTTTAAATGTTAGTTATTGTGTTTGGGGTGTGTACCTTTATATACAGAAGTTAGGTTTGGGCAATCAGCTCTACTTTTATCCAATCATGTTTAATAGAGATAACTGATAAGACGATCCACAATGTGGATTTAACGCTATATCGAGATTGCTCCGTTTCTAATTTATAACGCATCAATTTTTACAACTTTCTCCAAGGGCCGTACAAATTATTGAACTCAATTTCTGCTTAAAAAAACTAAAATCACAACCCATTCATTTCGCCTTTCTTTCATGCTGTGCAAAGAAAAAGCAACCTCTTAATCCAGATATTTTACCATGACTCGCGCATGCATGCATACACGGTTGTGGCATGACCACCAAAACAGAAAGATATGGACACAAGATGTGTGCAAATTAGTTTTTAAATGTTGAAGTTAAAAGCATCAATCTGGTGCACTTTGAGAGCAAAATGAAGAGATCTATGGATACATCTCCCAACACCCATATGAAACAAGACCTGTAAGCAGATTTCTTTTTCTTTATGGATATTTTACAAATCACTCCCCTTTTAAACTGTATTCTTGTTATTTTAAAAAACGTTTTTGTTACTGTCAAAGTATTTTATACGTGTATACCAAAACTAAAACTCTTTGGTTCTCCACGAATTACACAAGTGAAGTAAGAAGATATGATTCTACACTGTATTGAAGTAAACATGTATTGTTTGAACTGTTTTATGTAATCACAACGGTTTGGGTAATTATATATAGAATAGGAATGTTATTCTCACTTTCAAACTCACTGACTTAGAGATTCTGTGTTTCACACACCAACATTGATCCTTATCACCACTAAGAGCCAGATGCTGTTTCTAAGTCGTTAAAGACATCGTAAAATAAGAAAAGATCCCCTGGAAAAGGTAGGGAGGGGAGATCGGGACGGAGATAACATTGACTTTTGACCTAGTGTGGTTTGGGGTCTCACTCTGTTCGAAACTCTGATTGACCTCGGCCAGAAGCGAATCCAGCCAATCAGGACACTTGGAGGAGGTGGTCAGTTTAAACAGCTCCTACCCAGGGCTTCTCTGATTCGCTTGGGAGAAAAGTGGGAAGGAAGAATCGACAAATCTCCGCCCCAAAGACAGATAGAAATACTGACGTTTGTGTGTGTAAAATTGCTTTTGGGTTTGGTGAGTGGCAGGTCCTGAGAACTGTGTCCGTATCGCATCACAAACCTGAAGTCCAATTTCTTTTTGGTTTGATGAGTTGGCGGGTCCTGACGCATTTGTCCGCATCGCATCACAAATCTAAAAGCCCGGGGTACCCGGAGTACTCTGTATAACTTGTATATGTGTTTGATTTCCTACCAGTAAACTCAGATAATTGTTGTAACTTTTGATTCCGGTGTTTTCAATTCCTTTCTTAATTTAATAGAGATCCAGCCTCATCCAACGAACGGCGCGTAGCAGAGGTATTCTACTCCTACACAAGTCACCCAAATCAGCGTTAAAAGGTTAGCCTGTTTTTAAACAATGCTGTGTTTTCAATATCGGGGCCTTAACACCAGGTACCTCCTACTCAAAAATCCCAGCGTCCGTTGAGCAAAAATGGCTGCAGAACCCAGGGTGAGGATGATCAGAGTACATAGCCCGAATGACACCTCTTTTCCCTTGTCCTACGTATCCTGCACAAGACAAAAGTGAAAAATCTGATCTATAGAAGGCTGTAAATGTAATAATACATTTGATTTCGATCATTTGTATGTATAATGTTATGAATGATCTGCTATCTTCAATACTAGGATTAAGTGATATTTCAATTTAAAAAAATCTATATACAGGCTGTCACCATATTTTGGAATTGTGAAAAGCCTGGCAAGCCACTTCCCTTATCAGCTTTACAGTTACCTGGATTTTATTCCACCAGCCCTGCAGATATTACAATAGCCTCAATAGGCATGACTCCTAAAATCCCTAAATCTGTTGATTTTGTTCACACATCTTAGTCCTTCTTCTTAAAGTCCTTACAGTTTTAGTTTAAAAAATAGATTATTTTTATATTTTGTTCTATAATGATTAAATGTCAGTGAATAACAACATGTTTAATTATATAACTTTTACATCTCATTTGAAAAAGGTGGTTGCTAACTTGATCAGTGGCATACTGTGACAATAACTGGGACTTCAGCTCAGCCAAATTTAGCAGACAGACCCAAAAAGTGTCAACAGGGAAACATATTTAGCTATGGATAAACGGCAGACTACTGTGACAACAGCAGCTGGCCATGGAGTGCAACTGTTGCATTAAATGGCGGCAACCACCACACAATTACATTACAATTATAAATATATTAATTTAGAGTTTCTCTTTAACTGTGTGAGACTACTGATACTCACATTGAGCACTAGATAATTGTCTGTTTGGAAGCTGCTTTAATACATTAATGTGAGTCAAAAGTCAATTTTACACATATATTCCTGCTTACATGATATAGTGGGACATCCTGGTATTTTTAGTTGAAAGTGCAATATCCAAATTGCAAGAAGCTGCAATTATTATTTTTCAGCTAAATTTGAGAATACAAAATTATAATACATATTTCCTTTTTCTTCAGTAAAATCTGGACTTTCACTCTCTCTAGATCTAACCAATTACAGGTGGCAGCCATCTATAGTTTAGGTTACTTTGAAAAAAACAAATGGTGACAGCACTTAATTGTCTAAAGCTAACTGTGAGTGACGTGCACTGATACATTTTTGAGGAAATATAATCTATCTAACAATCTATGTAAGCACTGAAAGCATCTGAAGCAGAAATACAGAACTTCTTTATATATGTCATTGTATGCCAACCTGAACAATCTTTGAATTGCGTTCTGCAAAACTGACAAGACGAAATGCAAAACATGGTGAACATTTCCTCGCGATAGGACTCGGAATGGTCAAACCAATTTGTGTCCACACCTGTAATAAGAAAGTATAAAACAATAAGCCTAAGGTTTAATTTAGCAAGCTTATTTAAATTGAATTTGTAAAATACAATATTTCTTACTCAATATCCACAAAAAGTGTGCCTTTTTCCGGAAAGTGTCCTGGCTTACGGCATTTTTTACTTTCCAACAAACCAGAGAAAGCGTCAAATATGCCATGTCTCCGGCGTCAAGAACTACCTCCAAAAGAATGTTCTGCAGCAATTCTTGCGGTAGCTATGGACATATTTTACAAGAACCAGGTTAACAACAGAACTGAATTTCAAAACAAATATTTGTGTATATTTATATATTGATATGCTCCTTCTTCATAACCAACCAAGATAAGTGGTTACCTTAAGAATCCAGCAACATGTCTTTCTTGTGTCCACCATATTTTTTGGGCGCTCAGCTTTTTTATTGAATCCAACCACTTAAAAACACAAAAACAACCAGAAGATGATGCAGGGCTGGCTAAACTTTACTGTAGTTATGGTTGGGCTGATGGACAATGACATCGTGCATCAGCCATGTATGATAGCCATCGCCGTTGGATACCTGACCATCATCACATCATGAGTTAATAAGGCGCCCTCCCCTCCCTGCCCCACAAGATCGGGTAGAGTTTCCGTTTCGGAACAGTTAACTGCGGTACTCACATTGCTTTAAACAGCCATAAAGTGGGAGGATAAGCTCAGGTCGATGTATAATAGTTAAACCGCTGACTCCTTTATTGTAACACGTATTAAAGCAGAAATAAACAAAAAAGCATTGGTAAATTAAGCGCAGTTTAGTTTGAGCCGTGGACCCGGAGCTGATCAAGCACTGCCGCAGAGGACATCGTCAATGTCCAGTTGGGTACACATCGCCCAATTGTAACTTGAATATTTGTTGGAATTAAAGACTTAATGCATACTAAAAGTATTTATTGAGCTGTAAAATACATTGTACGACTGTACTTCAACACCAGACTGCATTCGTTCCCTTAATGATCCCCTTGATGATAACACGCTAAGGCATGTAGCGACATTCCCCCACTAATTAAGTTTAATGTACTTTAAGTGCATGTGCAAATCCGTTTCAGTTTAGTGTTTTCAGTATGAACACAAACAGTCTGACAGCACCTGCTAATGCAGGTTATCCCTGTTCACTAGCTGTTCCTTCTACACTGAGCAATGGTCAGTCTGTCACATAATTAACTGTAGTCCTACCTCCTTACTTCCCAAGTCAGACACTGTGTAGGTGGCCAACGTACCTCTCTTTGCAGTCTTTCCTTTTGTCTTCTTTGCTTTTTGCCGCCTTTGTTTTTCTTCTTCTTCTTCTTACTCTTCCTCTTCTTCCCTCTGTCTGACGAAGAGGATGAGGAGCAGGAGGAACTGGAGGAGGTGGAGGATGAAGAGGAGTTGGCTGCCCCTATTTGATCACCTTCCGAAGTAACTGGCGCCTTAACTGATGCCATTTTTAGAAGGGCCATAGCTGAAACAAACAAGAGGATTAGAACATAACTATTGTTACCACTAAGGGTCAGAACATTTACAATAATCTTTAAACCTTATATTGTGTGTTCAGAGTTTCACGCAGATCGGTGAAAATTCATGTAGTGTTTTTCACTAAATTTGAAATAGTGAAAAATATCGTGACCTGAAATGTTAGGTAACTGAAACAATTTGTTCTTTAGGATTTATGGAATATGTGAGATAATTTTCATGACTCTAGTTCAAACGGGGCATGTGATATGCCTGTTCCAAGTTTCCCCCGAACAAACGGACTCAACATATTTTAACAAGTGACTGTTCTTTCCCTCTCAATCCAACCCTCTACTGTCTGTTGATAAGTGAGAGAAGTGAGCTGGAGCCTGATCTGTCAAGCTCCACCCCACCATTTGGTGGTGTCCGTCCTATATGCTTGTCATGATATGTTTGCAGTGAAATTACTGAATTGCTGATGCAACTAGTCATCTGCAAGCATGTATGGCCTCATGGACTGTGATGAGAAATGTTGTAGGGCTTGGTGTATGTGCCTGTTTTTTTTTTCTTTCTCAAAAGCTATCAGATGCCAATAAATAATTATTTAATCATTATTGATTTGCTTACCCTCAGCCAGCTGTATCCTCAGATAGTCCCTGTCCCTTTCAACAGTTAACAATTTGTCCTTTAAAGCATCTAGCCTTATTTTTAAGGCATTGTTGTCAAGGTTTCTGCGCTTCAGAGCTACTATGGCTGTGGGAGCTGCAGAAAAATCTGTAATGACAAAAACGGCAAAAAAATAACATTATCTTTTCTGTAGTTATTACACAAATAGTATGTATAAGCAGATTGTGGTTCCATGCCTTTGCTTAGTGTTTTCAAAAAATGTACAATAAAATGTCAAAATTAGAGATCTACGACCGCCTGTATTGTCATGAAGTTGCAGACATGTCATTGATCACATTTAATAGACTGTTGAATTCTATATTGGGACTTGCAACTGCATTTAAACACTGCAAAACCTATGATAATACATTACAAAATAGTACTATATTCACTTCAAGGCAACTGTAAGATAATTGTTTCTGACAGGGGCTTCACAAGTATTCGCAAAAAATAACTTCAACTTTTAATATGCACTCAACCACACAGAAGTAAAATCGGCTCTAGTACATTTGCACAAGCGTTTACATTTTCGTTATGTAATATTTTCTTGTTCTAGTGTATTGTGCAATATTATATATATATATATATAAAAATAACACAATCAAAAAACAGTAACCGTAGATAAAATGTAAATGTAATGCAATTTCACAACACAACCTAACCTTTACTTGATGCTTTCACAGTAGACTGCTGTCCTGTGAATGAATCCGAGTCAGACCCATCACTGCAGTACACTACAGCTTTAAGAGGGGAGACAGAAAGTTCATAAATTAGAAATAGTGTTGACAAAATGGTACATATATCGATAGGGAATATTTGAAATTGTGTAAAGGTCCAAAATGCCAAATTAGACCCAAAAAACATGCCTGTCGTCAAAACCACTATCTGCCCACCCTGACCTCTACCACCAACAAAGGTATGGCAAGAAAGCACAGTGGAAGAATCTCCTCAACACAGGAGATAACAAGGGGCTTCACTTTGTGCATGTGACATCTTTAATCCACTATACGTTTACATATTGTTTTTTTTACTGCTATCTGCTAAGCAACTACTTCTTTGTAAATGGTACACCATCTGAGACTGAGTGGATCCTTAAAGCAGTGGTTCCCAAACGGTGTGCCGCGGCACACTGGTGTGCCGTGAGGCAAGTCTGGGTGTGCCGTGGGATTTTGTGACAACCATACGTTATTATTGCAATACACAACTACACAAAAATAATTATTTTTTAATTTACTATATCAGTACTTTGTATGCACTCATTTCATAATACAGAGGCAAACTCTATACCTAAAAACAATTCTTTTTAAAAAAATCCTCACAGAACCCCATATTTCGCTGTTAACGCAGTTGCAGGTGGGAATTATAAGACCGTGACACATCGAAGGCTGAAGGACAACATTAAAACAGAGAAACACGCAAGAGGGAAAATGGAGCGCTTTCTTGTGCGGAGCAAACCACCAACCACCAGTGCAGAGACTGCCGACAACCCACCACCGAAAGAAAAGAGGAAAAAAACTGTCAGCAGACAGTATCATGAAAGTTACCTGTCTTATGGCTTCAGTTGGACCGGGGATGACAACAATCCTCAGCCCGAGTGCGTCGTCTGTCGGGAGAAGTTAGCTAATGCGAACATGGTTCCAAGCAAGCTGAAGAGGCACTTGGAAACCAAACATCCCTTCCATGTTCAGAGAAACTTGGCCTACTTCAAAAGAGCGCGGGATCTGAACCAGAAGCAGCAAGACCGTTTGTTGGATTGTGTGAAAGTGTCTGAAAAGGCAATGGAGGCTAGTTACATGCTAGCGGAGCTCATTGCAAAGCAGAAGAAACCTCACACAATAACGGAGACACTCATCCTCCCCGCTTGCAAAAAAATTGTAGGTGTCATGCTGGGTCCAGATGCCGCAAATGAGCTATCAAAAGTGCCGTGGTCTGATAATACAATCAAAAGAAGAATCGACGACATGTCAGAAGACATTGAGCAACATTTGACAGAGAAACTGCAGGCGAGCGGCAGATTTCCCCTACAAATAGACGAATCTACATAAGTGGGGCTGGCAAACGTCAGATATGTTGATGCTGACTCTATCAAAGAGACGTTTTTCTTCTGCAAAGAAATGGAAAGCCATACTACGGGAGAAGAAATATTCAGGGTAACTAATAACTATTTAAAAGTGTCACCAAGGATTAAAAAAATCTGCGCGCCCCGACAGGCACATGTATCTCACTAATTTGTAAGTCAGCAAAAATATTTACAATAGCACATGTTTCAATGCTGATTGCTGAAATGTTACATTTATAATTTCTGAAATATTTAGTTAATAAATATTTAATGAGTAATATAGTTGTCTTTGTCACATTTTATTTGGCATTAGTAAATAATTATGCACATTTACAGATATTTTACATGATATGAGTGATAACACGTGTTATAAGGGCTATTTTGCACAATAGGTGTGCCTTGAGATTTGTACTTGTCCTTTGGTGTGCCTTGGGCACAAAAAGTTTGGGAACCACTGCCTTAAAGTATGCTTAACATTTGAAAGCAAACACTTACCCGTTTCCTTTGCCACAGTGTGGGAGCTGCATGGCTCTTCCTCAGGCTGACCAGCCAAATCTTTAGCCGCTGTAACATTATGGAGCACAGAAAGAGTTGTTGATGTAGAGAGCATTACTATATGGAAGTATGTTTTGTTTTTTTTGCAGCTATATTATAACTTCATGGGAACTATTTCAAAATTGGATATCTGAAAAGCCACTCTTGCATGCATGTGTTAGAAATTAAAATCAATGTTGATGTGGCGTAATTTGAATGAAATACACTGTATTTAATTTAAATCTGTTTTATTCTGAAAACCGAAGATTCACAAGTGACTTCCGGTTTTCCGCTGGAATGAGGTTTATTAGGGAATGTTTTTCAGATGTAATTCAGCAGCAGAAACCGACAGGATTTGCATTGGACATGCCCCCGTCGACGCCGGCCAATGGGAGAAGACTACAGTTCTTACCCGGGAGACCCAAGAAGGATCTCGCTCTCTCCTTGCCCCGAGCTGACCCGGCGCGGACGGGACCAAACAGCTGGCAGGGGAAACCACCAACGTGCACATTTCATTTGTATACCACCGCATCTTTTGTGTAATTAAATGCTGTTAACTTGTATAAGCTTGCCTTGACTCTTTTCAGTTTCTCCTGCTCTCGGGGTTCAAGAATCACTAACACATGTTAGAATATAATGACATTACATTTTGAACTGTTATTCAGGACAAAAAAATGGAAATTATGTATAACTATCTGAGTTGTTGTGGAAATTCCACACTTAATCACCTTCTGATAAGAAAAAATATATATACAAGCTTAAACCAAAGTTGTGTTATTTAATAAAGAGTTATAGCATTTAACAGAATCAATCATATTTCCAGCTGGAAAGGACAGAGGTCCTGCACTAGTAGATAGTACCAGGATCTGACCCCGTTACACGGAAAAGCAATGTCATTTATACAGATGAGACATAGGAAGGAAGGAAATCCACATTACAGTCCCAAGAAGGGTGGGGGGCAGACAGAAGGGGAAGCACAGTGTGTTAATTACAACCCTAACATCCATATGATAATTGACTGACAATGGTCAGGGCGACACCCTTCTGTCTGAGAACATTTTGTAGAAACCTACATCCATAGATTCCCAGCATAATTCTCCCTTTGTCCGAAATAACGGCCAATTTACATTACAAGAAGTGTTGACCAGACGGTTGAAACTTTACATACATGTTAATTACAAAGCAATGGTTGTAGAGACAGACTTTGTTTTTTGTTCTAAGGAAGATGCAAATAGAGGCTAGATGTGAATTAAATCAGTGGGAAATAAACAGATTATTAAGTTACAGTAATACTTATGATTAAATGAGTTGATGATAAATTGCAACAACAATTTCCAAACAATTTATCCACAGATGTAGATTTAATGGTTGTAAACCATCATTTCAATTTTCATGAATGTACTGTTTAACTATATTTTCATTACATATCGCCCAATGCTGTGTTAAAATAAAAATACTCTTGTTTCTAGCGCCCTAATGTCATTTACTTATTTAAGAGTTAAGATAAAAGGTTAAACCTTCATAATTGAGATATTTCAGAGTTAATTTGACAATTTAACTAATTTAACCCATAAGAACCCAGACCCATTTCTACTTTTGGGGAAATTAAGGGGAACATAATTTACACTAAATAGACCACATTTCTGACAATGTCACATTGAACTTTAATGGTAAAGTAACTCTTATTTATAACTTAATGAATGAGGAGGATCTTTTGATTTAAATTGGTTTTAACATTCTTTGAATTGAAGAATAAAGAATATATTAACTAAATATAATTGGATCAGCTAAATTAACTGAGCAGATCATAATCATATTTGTAATTGTGACATATGTGTTACTCCAGATTTACTGTGAAAGTTTAAGGTTAATGTCCCGATGTGACATCAGTGTCACAGCGATATTTATCTAATTTGTTTCATATCAATTTTATCAAGATATGTTAACAGGTTAAATGTTACAAAATACATGTTATGTAAGCATTTTAATTCTTAAATGGCTTGATTTGTACCTTTAGCAACCAAAAACAAGCCTCTGAAATGTAGCTAGTTTTGTCACATGTATTAGCCCGGCACATGACCCACCAGACTGTTCAGGGTGTGTCACTTAAGGACTTTATGAGATCAAAACAAGTCTAAAGCTGTATAATCTTTTATTGTGATTGTAGTATTTATTACATGTCCAGCACTTTGGCCCGACTTTTAAATGTGCTTTATAAATAAACCTTGATTTGATTTGAAGGAACTTTACAGAACATTGAAATGTCATGTAAGCGCTTTGAGCTCCAGGAAGGGGCTTTATAAATGTAATGTATTATTATTATTATTATTATTATGTAACACGTGTGTCACGGTGGGTCCTCGTGGTTTAGCTAGCAACCTCAAATCCGATAGCACAGAACAAAAAGTGTAATACATGTGTCAATTGAGATGATTTTGCGAAGCAGTGTTACTAATTTTTCAAATAAAAAACACATTTAAATTCATACTTACATTCAGACACTAAACGCTTGCGGGGCCCCATCTTCTTTCGCTTGCTTTTCCTCGAGTCCATTTTCAGTTCTACGTATAGAGCATAGACTGTGTGTATAAGGTGTAGAGGTTGGGTTTTATATACAGTCTTTGGGGGATTGAACTCACGTCTTGTCACTAGCCGAGATGCACGTGACAGGCTCATGGCCAATCGTAGCACTTGAATGCTATGAAGGGGCGTGTCTTGCGTAGTGCTCCAGCCGGATCCCGATTTGCAGCGCATTAACACTTTATTACGGTTTTAATATTTTAATTGTATATCAGTGAAGATACAGAAGCTGTGCTTTGTCAATTTAACAAGGAAGATGAAATACCTGATTCAAAACATCAAAACTATTGGTTTGAATCGTGTGAACAAGAAATGAGGATCAGGGTGCTAGGGCGCTAGTGCGCTCTGCGGCGGAGTTCGCTGTGCTTCAACTTTGTGGACAGGCAGTAGTAACGCCGCAGTAGTCTATGGTTTTAGGTTATAATCATGACACTGCACACCAAAGTACTCAGTCTTATTGACGGAAGACAGACTTTTAAAAAAAAGAAAAAATTAATTGAATGGCTAATGAAAAAGGAATTGCTTCAAGGTAAAATGAAATGCAAACTCTGCAAAAAGAGGATGAAACTGGAGAAACACTCAAACGTCGATGGACTGCAGTGGTAAGTCTTACATTTTTAGCACGGGTTTTAACGATGACTTCCTCTGTTTACTGATATGTAATGTTACAAAGATAAGTTCTTTATCAGGAAAAAAGGACTATGAATTTACGATTTGTCTTTTGTAGGAAGTGCCGACGTAAAAAACACCGAGGGAAAACGACGAAGAAGTCAGTGAGGTGTTTGTCCCTGTTTGAGAGGAGCAAATTATCCTTGTTCAGCTGGATGAAATACATTTACAGGTAATATTAATTCATCAATAATATCAGTCATTTCCTCAGAGCACAGCAAATGAATGCCTGTAAGTATTACGTTTATTTTAAGCATGTTGACTGTTGTTTAACATTGCCGATATCTAAATGCTAATTTCAGTTAGCGCGTCAATTCCGTTATCCATTATATGTTAGCATTGAGCTAGCGGACTAAATGCTAGTTATTTGGCAATTCACAACGCAGGCGGCTTGGAGGTGTGGCGGGGCACATTGGCGTCGCTTTCACACCAAGCCCCCAGGAACTGCAGGTATCCCTTGAAAAAGAGATAGTTGATCTCAATGGGATTTTTCACCTGGTTAAATAAAGGCTACAAACAAACTGCGCCGGACTCTGATGACAATATTCGAGAGTTATTTCCCTCGGCATTATGAACGCGCATCTAACCCACGGGACCGCGCCGCCCGGCACGTTCATGTTACGTGTTCAGTACTACATGCGTTTTACCCATAGACTGTATATATAAACGTTTTACCTTTACCCATGGATGCACAATAAGAACGGACCCATATCGCCTTACCGTTCGGGTGTTCAGAGCAGAGCTCCCTGTTGGAGCAGCAGAGCGTGATGTGAACAAAAAAATGTTTCTGTCGCAATATTATTTAAGGAATCGTTGAGCTAGCTAACTAGCATACATTGTCACTAAATAGCTAACATTAGCTTTAGCCTTCGTTTTCTAATTTTTTCATAGGCTATAAACAGAGGTGGTATAAGTATAGATCTTGTACTTGATTAAAAGTAGAAGTACTCAGATTGGGTACTTTAGTAAAAGTAGAAGTACTCAGATCGGGTACTTTAGTAAAAGTAGAAGTACTCAGATCGGGTACTTTAGTAAAAGTAGAAGTACTCAGATATTGTACTTGAGTAAAAGTAGAAGTACTCAGATATTGCACTTGAGTAGAAGTACTCAGATCTTGTACTAGAGTAAAAGTAGAAGTACCAGAGTGTACGAATACTCTGTTACAGTAAAATTCCTGCATTAAAAAATGTTCCTCAACAAAAAAATGGGTTCAGAATGTTTAAATGTGTGATTATTCTAATAGCTTAAAAATACATGCGTAGATGCTCTGATATAGGAAAACTTGATAGATACAATTAATTAGCAACATTAAAATATTCTGTTTCATTTTGAGTAATAACAAATGTCTAATGTGAATTATATAATTAATACATTAGCCACTGGTGCTGAATGCGTTCGTCTTCATATGTTTTTGTTCATATTTAGTAATTGTATATTGATCTTTAACAGATTTTCCCAGGGACTGCAGCTAAGGCAAATTGACATGCTGCAGGACGGCGTGGCAGGAAGCAGTCGCACGCTGTCAAAAATGAGCCAGAAGTTGAGGAAGGTCTGCAAGAGTGCAATCAGGAAGAGAGAAAGGAGGGGAAAGCAGAGACTTGGAGGACCAAATGAATTTGTCATGCTGGACGAAAGCAACTTCTACCACAAAAGGAAGGTGTGTATAAACTACAGAGCCTTAGCCTTTGGCCTCACTAAAACTAAAAACTTTGTTTTTCAAGGTGAAATAATAACATATCTTTTAAGGTCAGAGATTAACAAATGACTGAGCAAAGTAATGTAATTTTATAATTTTGTCATTCACACCCTTATGACTGGCGTGCTTAGGCTTCCAAGACAGAGTATGTTAGAGAGAGCCAGCTCCACAGTGTATACACAGTCAAATAACAGAAAAAAAGAATTTAGAAGCTAAGAAGTATCTCATCCAATCAAATCATTAATCAATAAGGAAATAAATCCATATTCTTACATTTTATTACTAACATTTTAAAAGGGCATAATCTATTTATATTCCAATATCTATCTTACCTTTTCATGTTTCTTGCAGCAAAATAAGCAAACTTTAACTTAATAAAATTAAACAGCCTTTTCTGTTTGTACCACTACATTTTAATATTTTTCTCTTCTTTTTTGAGAAAGGAAGTGAATATTTTTAAATTGTAAAAGAACGCAAATAACAAACACATTTCACTTTGTTTATCAATTGAAATTACTGATGTTTATTTTTATATAATTTTGTTGTCCTTTTTCACTGCTTTATTACAGTATGGTAGGGGAAGATTCGGTCCTACGTGGAGGAGGAGAAAATGGGTCTTTGGTATGCTGGGCATCAGAGGAACAAGAAGAAGACCTATCCTGAGGCTGGTGAAACAAAGATCAAGGCGCCACTTAATTCCTCTGGTCACAAAATACGTTCGCCAAGGGACCACGGTGATAACGGACATGTGGAGGGCATACATCACTGCAATCGCAGAAAGTGGCTTTGTCCATTTCTCTGTGAACCACAGCCGTTCATTTGTGAACCCAGACACAGGAGCCCACACCCAAAACATTGAGCGGGCTTGGTCAACGTACAAGTCACAGGTCTGGAGACTGCGAGGAAACCGCACAGTGAAGACTCTGAAGAGTCATCTTGCTTTGATCGAGTGGACACATTGGCTGGCAAATAAACACAAAGATGGCCCCTTAGGCAGATTGCTGCATGACATACGCCGCTTTCACAAGTTCTGAAAGCAATCTCCTTTTTGTTATTAGTGTGCTTTGGATTGTTGTTTAAATAAAAATGTAAACTTGAGTGCACAGGGTTTGTTTGTTTGTTAAACTGCTTAAATAATGGTGAGGTAATCATTAGTTAATGGGTAACTACTGTTTTTGTAATGGTCAAGTAAGCATTAGGTAATGGGTAACTACTGTTTTTGATGCATTACTTTACTTGAGGGGACACATACTGCTTAATGAATGGTCAAGTAAGCATTAGGTAATGGGTAACTACTGTTTTTGTTTGAGTTCCTTGAGTTTACCGTACCCAAACGGCCTAAGTAATGGTAAGGTAAATAATGATGACTTAAGCAGTAAAACGTGAGTCGGATCCACCTCCACCAGTTGATCCAGTGTGGGACCCAAGCCAGCCGAAGATGGCAGGTTTAAAAGTGCCCTGCTGCAGCGGACCATTGCTTCAATCAAAGTCTCCCAGGAACTCCTCATTAAGTAACCATTAACGAATGATTCATTAATACAGTACCCCCAGTCTGTTTACCAGTAACTAACCATAAGTTCACTGAGGAACTACTCATTAACTAACCATTAACGAATGATTCGTTAATGCAGTACCCCCAGTCTGTTTACCAGTAACTAACCATCAGTTCCTCAATCGCAGTCCCTGAGGAACTACTCATTAACTAACCATTAACTACCTAGTAGTTCCTCAGTAACTAAGCAGTAACTAAGCACATGTTGTGTACCTTATTGTAAAGTGTTACCAGCCTTTCTAATGACTCTGAAGGTAAACATAGTGAAGGCGGTGCGTGCTCCTCTTCTCAGAGGCTGAGTTAACCCTCCCGCTGCCTCCTGGTGCTGCAGAGATTTCATGAAGTGAAGGAGGTTTTCCTTCTATAAAACAGCTGTGGGCAGCAGATACTGTGAGACGGACATGAATTCATAGATCAAGGCAGACTGGTGCACACACTCTCCTGTTTTGCCAATCCGGTGCTTGAACAAATATAGCTCTACACCCCTGGCCGAAATGTCCTTAAAATGAAATCTGAGTTCGACATTTTAATTCATGTCCTGCCAACAAGGCGACACGCCCGTTCTAAGCAGTGTCTCACATCCCAAGCTGCATCCCAAAAAAGTGTATTATGTTGTTACATCGTACACAGATGACTTATGTTTTTATGTTCAGTGAAGTGTTTTATTATTTTTGGGACGGGGAGACGTGGGGAAACCAAACTAAGTTGCTTGCCCCACGGAAACGCATACGCCCGTTTGCGTAACTGTTTAGTGTCATATAGACCGTTCTGCCACACTAGGACGACCGAATATGGCAGTAAACAACTGCGGTAACGATAACGGGTCCCAAGGTGGATAGCACGGCATACGCAACGCTCTGGGGGGTCCAACAGCTCCGTGTGTAGGACCTATACGATCATTTTGTGATAATGATGACGCAATAGCCCCGCCTCCCCCCACCTCTGCTGCTCACCGTCAAAGTAAACTGCACACTGAATTCAGATTATTTATCTTTCTCTCGATATGGACATAAACGCGGGTGAAGTCTAATCTGACAGGACGGAGACACGCAGCTC